GCTTCTGAGTGGTTGGGGTACATACAATCTTCCTGGGGGGGCATTATTTGGTCCAGGGTCGGTCTTCAGAGCCTCCAGGACTTGATCACGTATCTCCCACGTGACTCCACCTATGACACGGTTTGGGGGAAGAATAGTGGCAGGTTCAACCTCTCGATCTGAGGCGTATTGCCTGGAGAGGGCATCGGGTTTGGTATTTTTGGAACCAGGTCTGATAGTTGAAAGTTAAAGCAAGAGAAGAAAAGGGACCAGCGGTACTGACGAGGGTTCAACTGTTTAGCCTCTTTTAGGTAAATGAGGTTTTTATGGTCTGTCCATACGAGAAAGGGGTTCTCTGCTCCCTCCAGCCAATGTCTCCACTCTTCGATCGCTAATTTTACTTCTAGTAGTTTGCGGTCGCCAACGTCGTATCTACTCTCAGCCGGGGTTAGATGACGGAAAAGTAGGCACAAGGGTGAAGCTTCTTATCCCCCTCTGCCACTTGTGAGAGAACTGCCCCGACCCCGGTGTCAGAGGCATCAACTTCCAAAGTGAACTGGTGCTGTGGGTCAGGACGGTGTAGAACTGGGGCATTAGTGAATTTGTTCTCGAGTTCTTTGAAGGCTGACTCAGCTTTGGGGAACCACACAAAAGGTTTGTTGATAGAGGTTGGATTAGTTAGAGGAGCTGCAGTCTGACTGTAGTTTTTGATAAAGCAACGGTAGAAATGAGAAAAACCAAGGAACCTCTGTAGTTGCTTTCTGGTGGTGGGTGTGGGCCATTCGGTGACTGCCTGCACCTTTTCTGAATCTGCCTTCAGCCGCCCGCTCTCAATAATAAATCCCAAAAACTTCACTGTGGAGACGTGAAACTTACATTTTTCCGCCTTAACGTAGAGACGGTTCTCCAGCAATAGTTGTAACACGGCCTTCACATGCTGGATGTGCTGTTCCTGGTTCTGAGCGAAGATCAATATATCATCTAGATACACTGTCACAAACCGGTTTAGAAAGTCACCGAGTACTGAATTAACCAGGGATTGGAAGACGGCTGGGGCATTAGTGAGTCCAAAAGGCATTACCAGATATTCGAAGTGACCAAGGGGTGTCTTGAATGCTGTCTTCCACTCATCTCCTTCTCTTATTCTCACCAGGTGATAGGCGTTACGGAGGTCCAGACGGCTGAAAATGGTAGAGTCCTGGATGGGTTCAAAGGTGGAGGAGAGTAAAGGCAGAGGATATTTATTACGGACCGTGATCTGGTTTAAACCTCTGTAATCAATGCATGGCCTGAGGGTGCCTTCTTTTTTAGGAACGAAGAAGAACCCTGCGCCCAGAGGAGATGAAGAAGGATGAATGGTGCCCGCTGCAAGACAGTCCTGTATATATTGCCCCATGCTCTCATTTTCAGGTTTTGACAGGTGGTACAGACGACTTGATGGTAAGGGAGCTCCAGGCAGAAGGTCTATTGCACAGTCAAATGGCCTGTGGGGAGGCAGAGAGGAAGCACGGTCTTTACTGAATACCTGTTTCAGGTTGTGGTAAACCGGTGGAACAGTAGACAGGTCTATGTTTTCCAAGGGAGGAGGAGGAGGATGGTCACGAGCGGTAGGTGAGGCCGAGCGCAAGCAGAGTAGAGAACATTCCGAGCTCCACCCAAGAATCTTGTTCTCCTTCCAGTCCATTGTGGGATTATGACGAACCAACCAGGAATGTCCCAATACTAAGGGGGACTGAGGAGAGGGAAACACATAAAAAGTTAATGTCTCAGTGTGGTTACCTGAAACCAACAGGCGAAGCGGAACAGTCTGGTGGGTGATAGTGGACAGATTACGATTATTGAGCGAGGACACTGAGAGAGGTGTAGACAACTTGGTGGTGGGTATTTTCCATTGTTTCACGAGGTGGGGGTCCAGGAGAGATTGTTCACATCCAGAATCCAACAGGGCCTCAATGGTAATCTGTCTGGAAGGAACAGATTGAACACAAGGAACTAAACACGGGAACCGAAAGAAGAAGAGTTACCGCCCACCAATAGTCCCAGCTTTATAGGCAGGCTCTGCCTTTTAACAGAGCAGGAAGCAATTGACAAAATGTCCAGCGGTTCCACAGTACATGCATAAACCAGATCTCTGTCGGTGCTCCCTCTCCTCTGGAGTGAGACGTGTCCTTCCCATCTGCATGGGTTCCTCAGAGGAGGAGGGTTCAGAACCAGGGCGTCCAGAAGTCTTAGAAGAACGTTCCCGAGCAGGAAAGGCTGGGGGCTCGGGTTCATGTCTCCTTAACTCCCGCTGGCGTTTGTCAATTGATATGGCCAGCCTGATGAGTTCATCTAAAGAGCTGGGTTCAGGACATAAGGCCAGCTGGTCCCTCACCTTATCATTTAGTGCCTCGGTGAAGGCTCCAATGAGGGCGTCCTCATTCCAGGTGGTCCGGGCTGCCAAAATGTGGAAGTCCACCGCCAAGTCCACCACTGTTTTTCTTCCCTGAGAAAGCTTCAAAAGTCTTTTACTGATGTCCGAGGAGGAATCATAACAGCCAAACGTGAGTTTTAGTTCTGTTAAAAAAATCATTAAATGACACATTTAAAAACAAGTCATTATGGCCCCTTGCTTCAGCCCACCTAAGAGTCCTTCCTCGCAGAAGACCCACAACGTATGAAATCTTGGCTGAATCAGAGGAGAAGGCTGTAGGGCAACGTTCGAAAGCCAATTTACATTGTAAGATGAAACTATAACATTCCTCGAACTCACCCCCAAAGGTCACAGATGGTGGTGAAGGAGCGACGCGGAAATGGGAACTCTACATGGGGGGAGCTCCCTCCGATTGCGGAGGTCCTGTGGCTTCAGAGGCGGCAGAGGGGGGTCCTACTGGTGGAGGTGGTTGATGACGCTGGGACAGAGATTCATGTATCTGGCGGACCAGGGCTTCCAACTGTGTATAGCGTTGATTAGATGCTGACAGTTGTTCCATTAATAACGGAAGGGTCTGTTCCTGTTGGGTCAATCTGTGTGAAATGTTAATGAGTGCTGATTCTGTAGGGCTAGAGTTTTGGCCGGATGATTCTGTCATGTTTTGAGGTAAGTGTCTAACCCAAGACATACAGAATCATGCACGGAGACGAGGTAAAAGAAGAACAATAATTTTATTTAAATGTGGAGGTGAACTGAAGGCGCACTGGAGATCCAGCGGGAGGACGAATCCGGAAGCGGTAACTAGGGGGAAACCAGAGGTGAGTAATGGGAGTTGTAGTTCAGAGGGAATGTTTGAAGGCGGAACTTACGATGAGGAAGTTCAGGGTGAATGTGGAGGGGAGATGAGCCGGGGTGATATCCAGAAGAGACTTGTGATAATGGGAGTGGATGAGTGGAACGGACGAGGCAGATGAGGACGAGGCAGTGGAGAGAGAGCGTGATCGGTGGAGAGCGTGGCGGCTGGGTGGAGTAGGAATCCAGGCAGCGAACCGGTGAATAATCCTTTGACTCTGAGACGGGAGAGGATCCAACGATGAAGTAAGTCTGTGGGTGAGTATCCAAGCAGAAAAACAAGCTCAGGTTAAAACGAGTTCCAAAGTTTCAAAACAAGACGAGGTTCAAAATCACTATGAGGCTAGAGTCTACCAGGCAGTAGATAATCATCCAGCGTCGAATGAGGATAATCGTCCTCCTTTTAAAGCCGCCCCGCTGATCAGTCTGATGCGGATCAGCTGCGCTCCCTCTCCTGCAGAAACTCAGAGATGATGAGATGATGGGCAGAGTACTCACCCCGGCTCATGACAATTAGCATTTTTTTTATGTACAATTGTATTGAAACAGAGAGACGACACAAACAACGGCTTTTTGGTTCCATCCTGCCAAACAGTTAATTTTTTCCCTTTGCATTTAAAACTCAACACTTCATAACATAAAACTTTGAAAATCATATCCTTTCCCCATGGACGTAATTTTGGGGGGGAAGGGGGAACAGGTGTCCCCCCCCCCCCCCCCCCCCACGCACACACACACACTTTTTCCAAAGTCAAGTTTTGACCCCTGCACTTCTTACCATCCAAAAACAATATTACGCTATTAAACTGACACTGGTTGAGCTCTAGGACCAAGCGGAAAACAAGTGTTTGTGTCAATAATACCTAGCTGCGGACGTAGCCCGGCCAAACACGCCCCCAGCCAAACACGCCCCCGGCACACCCCCCACGTCCCCGGCCAAACAGCCCCCCCCCCCCCCCCACACACACACACACACCCCGACAAAACACGCCCCCCTGTTGAGCTACCCCGAGCTCAATAACGGCGGCCCTCCCAGCGAACAACACAATTGAAAGAAAGTAAATAAATAGTAATAATGTAATTAAACAGACAGGACTCCAGGTTTAGATATGAATGTATGGATTTTTTTGGCCATCCCCAGTGAGACTATTTTTGTTTCTTGCATACACACTTTATGGCCATCCCCAGTGAGATTATAAAACACAGATACCACCAACAAATAATCAGTTGCCATACAGTAATCAGTTGCCGGACAATAGGCACAACATACCTATGCTTACTGAAGTTAGCAGGTGAGTAATGTATGTGCAAGTGTTTATTTTAAATGCAATAAAATAAAATATCAGAAAAAGTAATTAGTGGTAATCGTTTTAATTAACCGCTTAAGCCCACTGGCCTCCATTTTTGGGAGCATGCCTCCTACAGCAGTAGTGGGTCTAAGTTCATACGAGTGAGTAATTAATATTTATGTTACTATTTGTGATTTTTTTATTGCTTCTTTACAGTGAAAAGCTGCTGATGTGTAATTTTTAGGCATATTTATGTGTATATATGCATTTCGTATATTCTGTTAACAGGAATAATTGCTGGCCCTTTGACACAAAATGTATTGATTTCGAAATTACTAAAATATTTTGCATTAAGTATACAATTCACAAGACTAGTAAACTGATATTGACCATACACTAATCTGTAAAGAATATACTGTAAACACAAAAGCAGAAAAGTTTGGCTTTAGAAAAAAAGTTCAGACAAATGAAACAACCAGCAACAGCTTTTATTGGCCTTACCAATACCTTCCAAAAATAAAAAAATAAAAAATGTCCACACAATGCTACAGCCTCTTCAGAAATTCAGATGAGTCCAGAGCTTTTCTGATTTTCTCTCCGAGTATATGAGCAGTTCCATGGCATAGGACATCAGCTGCCTCTCACTAATGAGACAAAGAAAAATAGCAGTTAGTAAAAATGACATTTACACCTGGAGGCTGTCATAAACAGTGTGAAAACAATACATATAGGCATTAGCACTGTTCTTGTGTTTGTAGAATACCTCCGGGCTACCACATTGCCGTCGTGACTTTGCTGCTTATTAGATGAGGAGTCATAAACGGTCAAATAAATAGCCTATTGTTACGTTTATTTTGGCCAAAAGGCTTGCATGTAGCCCATTAAAAATTATATTAAAAAAATTTGCGTCCATGACGTCTTCCCCCACTGCCAATAATGCTTAATTTTATATAAAAGTGTTTAAGAAAAAAATTACGAATGCGCCATCTATCAAACTATGTCTTAAACGTTCAAATTTTTAGTACAAAATCTTCGCAAATTGTAAAAATATAAATCTGTCTTTACCTGAACGTCATTTCCATCTCTTGCAACCAACACGCATGCGAGTTCTCGTCTTCGTACATGCACGCGTTTTGTACATAGGGGCGTGTTTGGCCGGGGCTGCGTCCGCAGCTAGACCTTACTCGTTTGTGTTGTGCTGTTTACCATTAGAGCATACTGTAAAGATACCCCTCCCCCCTCCCATGCCCCCCCCCCCCCCACTTCTAAAGTGAAAATTACGTCCATGCCTTTCCCAATCTTTGCAATAAACTCTATAGGTGCAAGTGAAGGATGTGTCCCTGTCTCTCATCAGATCTTCATTCCAGAAGCTAAGATGTGATGAAAAAACAGCGGGTCTGGTCATCGTTGGTGAATGTCTGAAGCATTTGTCACAAATTCTTTGCAATTAATTCACTTTGGTTCAGACAGCGGGACCGTTTATCATGTAGAAGCATTCCAATTGTTCTCAACTATGTGAAATGATTAGAAATCACACCAGACTGGAGCTCCGGAGGTCATTATAAAGACTTTGGCCTTGTTTTCTTTCGAAACACCACAAAAGTAAAGTTTAAAGTACACGTTGACTGTGCCACAGCTGGATGAGATTAGTCATGAATCCAGTGGAATCGATTAAACAACATGAAATAATTAGATCGTTTTCATGTTTACAGCAAACACAAAGTTCTTCTGCTCAACACAGACTTTACTTCCTCTGTTTTGTGAGACAGAAAACATTTCAGGATGGATTCAGGTGTGATTAGTCACATTATAATGGCTGATTTGTTCAACAGATCCTGTTCTTTGTTTGAAACTTTGTTTCCAGAAAGCAGCTCGTTGTTCTGAAGCTGTTTTGATCTTGGCTGTTTTATCTTTGTGCTCTCATGTCAAAGCCTGCTTCCCATCTGGCTCAGTGAAGGGTGAAAACAATGCTTTTGTCTCCAAACAGAAGTTAAATCAGCCAGAACAACAACACTTATGTAAAATGTAGGATGGAAATCTTTCCTTTTTTATTGTTATTGACTCAGATGTCATTTAAACACGTTTTCCACAATCACAGATGTTCTGAATATCATCTGCACTTTCTCAAGGACTTTAATTCAAGGAAATAAGAGTTTGTGTCTCCCAAGAAGACTCGAGCTTTAGGGTAAATGTCCATTTAGTCCCTCAGAAGGAGGCTTTTCTCATCTTTCACAGCTTCAAGTTGAAAAAGTAACCGATAAAGGAAACAATCAGCCAGATGTCCTCCTGCTTTGCCTACCTGACCCTAAATGTAAAACACATTTGTATTGTTTCTTTTTATTTGTGAATTCAATTTCAGATATTTAAATTTAAAACCACAGATATTTAAATTTGTGGATTAACGACACAAGGAAGTTAAATATCTGATTCCTGGTGTATTTGTATAGAGAAAGACATTTGCTGATATTAAACTATAACTCATGTAACAGTGATACACTGTGAGCTGTTATATTTACACCTTTCCCTTGTTATTTTACCACTCATGTGCAAACTTAATATTCTTGTGTTTCCTCCCTGGGTGAGGATTGAAGAGTTTACTGATGGTGTTGAAGCCTTTGGGGTGCTCTTTGTTGTCCTCATCCTCCGTCCTCTCCCTCACCAGTCCACCCAGAAGCCCTCTGACCTCAGCAGAAGCACCTTTCTGCAGATAGTGGAAGGCCTTCTTGCCGTTGTTGTCTCTTTCGTTTACATTGGCTCCATAGTGCTGCACGAGTAGCACCATCACCTCATCGTGGCCATGCATGGCTGCGATGTGCAGAGGCGTGTATCCTCCGTGGGATTTGCTGTTGACGTTCACACGAGTGTCCTTTCTGTTGGAGATCTCCATGAGTTTTAGGACCATGTCTCTATTGCCAGCCTTGGCGGCCCAGTGCAGGGCTGTGAACCCTGACATGAAGTCCTTCCTCTGGACTAAGCGCGTGTCCCTCAGCATCAGAGCGTAGATTTGTCCCCACAGCCCTGCAGCACACTTCACCAGCCACTCGTGAGCCAAAGGGTCCAGAGGCACAGACTCGGAGTATTTACTGGCTTCATCTGCTGCTCTTGTTTTGCTTTGTGGCCTCACCAGATGAGAGCCTGGGGGGTTCATCACTCCCTCTGACCGTTTGCTTTCCCAACTCTGAGATGTTTTAAACGAACCCACCTTGCATGAGCAGTTGGCTGTTTGCGGAGCTTGTTGTGTGTCTGTTTTGTTCGAGGCTGGAGCAGAGTCTCTCCCGGGGGATTGGACTGCTATGACAGCGAACACAGCTCCAGATTTACCTGCCCCGCACGGCTGCTCTCCGGACAAACTCAGGACTCTCAGAGCGGTTGAATCCGACAGAGATCTGCTCTCCTCCACCCTGCCTTTATTGTTATCCTCCTTTGTTGTCCTCCTGTCTGGCTCGGCTGGGACTCGGACAGGAGGTGTGCGCGCAAAGCTTTCATCCATCTGCGCGTTCTGAGCGTCACCTTCTGCGTCTTCTTTCACAAAGTCCTGGTACCTTTTCTTCACAACCACGAACTTCACGTCGTCGAGCTGCCGGACCACCGCCACGCTGTTCACCAGCCTCTTGAACAGCTCTCTATTGTGCTGCTTTTCCGCGGGATCGCCGCCGCCGCTGATCAGGCTTTTAAAATGGTTCACCAGCTCCGAGTTCCTCACTTTGCCTCCGCGGTCCAGTAAAAAAGACAAGACGGACTCCTGGGTCAAAGCCATTGTGGGGTTTACCAGGTAGAAATAACAAAGAGATAATAAAAAAGCATAAAGATGTGGCTTATAATAATCTCAGAGGATCAAACTCCGATGCTGGCCTGTCTGTTGTCCTCCAACCTGCTGCTTCCGGCGACTCTCCAACCAGACCTCCTGTTTGAGCCACGGCACTCCCCATTAAAACCATTGGACCCAGTTAGACAACCTCATTAGTAGTTTAGTTAAAGATTCTTATGATCAAAAATCAATTTAATGATAATGATTACAGTCTGTTACGTGAAAGCTATTGTTTATCCAGTATAGCCTAAAGAAAAGAACACACACACACACACACACACACACACACACACACACACACACACACACACACACACACACACACACACACACACACACAACACACACACACACACACACACACACACACACACACACACACACACACACACACACACACACACAATAATTATAGCCTCATGAATAATGTTTGTATGTAGTTGTATGACTAATGAACAAAAACAAGTTTCGACCTGCAGTACTTTAAATCTCCACTAGAGGGCAGATTGTTTTGTTGTAAACAAAGTAGGCTACAAATCCTGTCAAAGTGAATTGAGGAACTCTTTTAGGAATTTATAAAAGATCCTAATCAGATACATCTGACCTTCTGTCTACACTGATGCTGTGCGGTGATGTTTAATGGAAGATTTTGTTTTAATTAAATTAAGTTTGAAATTAATGTAAAATTCTTTATTGTTTAGTTAGAAGCCCATTGCTCATACTTTTTTGTAACTGTTCACCAGCTGAACATAACCAACATTGAAAAGATTATAAATACGTGACAAGAAACTTGAACAAAATCATAATAAAAAAATAAAGACAGAAAAAAGTGCAAGAAAAGGTTTGGCAGGTTTCTTTTCCAACTGGACTTGATGAAAAATGGGCTTTGGTTTAAATTTTCAAAGCACATATAGACAATTCCTGTTTCTGATGAAAAGACAAAAGGTGCTTTTACTATATCTACACTGCAGGTGTTGCATTTTATTTTAGGTATTCAAAATAAAATTGTTCCAGTCATAATTTAAAATATAAAACATCCCAAATATAATTTAATATAACAACAATATAAGACATTACGGGGTATCATAAGTTAAATAAATAAATATCACTTCAGTCTCAATTAACGTTCAAAGAATAACAAACTTATCATTTAACAACGTCATGCACAATTACATTCTCAACAGTTTCTCCATTTATAATAAATATTGTATTTGTGTTTTCGCGAGTCATTATTTATGTTTTACTTTTATTTCTTATTTCATGTTTAAATGTTGAAACACTGATTTATTATCACACCTTTATCTCTCACTCTGACCAAAAACAAGAAACAACAGATTCTCCAAACAGGAATGTGATTAAATGCTACATCGGCTTGCCCCACAGGATTTAAAGTGACAGGCAGGCGGTTGTAATGTCGCCCTCCAGCATCGAGGGGGTGTTGCCTTGAAGTAGCCCAGCTGAACGGATGGCAGCAGGTTGAAGACAGATTATTCCTGCACCGTTTGAGATGATGATGATGATGATGGCGACCACTGAGGTAATGTGTTTGCGTTGTGCGAGCGTGTCTGCGGAGACTCGTGTTTGTGACCATCAGCGGGGTTTTAAGCAGAATGATGTTGTTTATATAATCAGAGCGGTGCTGCAGATGGCTCCATAGAAATGAAGATGCTAACCCGCATCGTTTTGTTTTGATGAAGAACGCAGATAAAGAAAAGAGGGAAGGTGCTGCTGCTTCAGGAACAGTCCAGATACCGTTCATCTCTGCCGTTCCCAGTAGGTCCACACCTCTGGCAGGTGGGATCTGACAGGGAAGGCTCACTATAATGGTCTCCACCAGCCAATCAAATTACATGCGGGCAAAAATCTTGAATTTTAATATATTTTGAGATCCTGACTTTTCTTGTAAAATGTTAACGTGCTCTCGGTCAGCAGCTCTTCAGACTTTCTGAACTTCTTAGAACTTTTGCTGCTTGTCTCTTGTTTTCATAAGAGTGATTTTATTTTATAATTAACTCTGCTATCTGAATCCTTCAGGAATAACAGGCTGCTGAAATGAACAAGGTATTTTAAACTGGATTGTTTAGTAATTTAATCCCAGTTTCACACATCACCACGAGTTTATCCACAGTGAGCTGTCCTGCAGTTTCTGATGGTTTAGTTTCGAGGCTCCAGACCTGAATCATTCATCTCCTGAGAGGTTCCTTGTACCGGAAGCTCTTCTCCTGTAAGACTGGACACCGAAAATATGATCAGTCAGATACTGTTGCTGCAACGATGCTGTAGAAAGTATCTTTACTTCTCTACCTTCATTATTTTTCTTAAATCTAAAGAATAAGTTGTGACGGCTGGGTAAACGTAGATCAGGACTCTGTTGAAGACAACAAGACAAGTCTGGCTGCTCAAAACATTTTAAAATAGGAGGAGCGATTTAACCTTTTGATTGTTGTCAGAAAGCTGTATAGTGCAGAATAGCAGACTTCAGTGTGTTGCTTCAACATCATCAGCTCCCAGCTTGGATAGCTTCCCACCATGTGAAATAACCCCCAGATAAAGAGCTCTTTGTGTGTGTGTGTGTGTGTGTGTGTGTGTGTGTGTGTGTGTGTGTGTGAGAGAGAGAGAGAGACAGAGAGAGACAGATGCTTGTTGCATTGACCACTTCTCCTCGGACTTCATGTTGAGCCTTTTTGCGGGATGTCAGCATCCTCTGGTGAATCTGCAGCTCCTCTCAGCGTGCCACATCCTCACATCCGTTCAGTTGGGTTCACTCTGCTGTGAAATAATGACTCAATGCTGTGGGATGAAGACGTTAGGTTCAGAAACACACAAATCAAACACATTAAAGAAGCTAGCAAGAGGGCCAAAAGATGCTTAGAGTGACTTCTTGCCACCTTTAAACTACAACCTACTTTTGTTGGTCTTTTTGGCTTGCTATAACCCAAACGGCGAGTCAGCTGCAGACAGAGAGAACCTCATTCTCAGATAATGATGAGGCAGAAACTGGTTTTGACTCATTGTTTTAAAGGCTTGTTCGGATTTTCCTCAGTTATTTGCATTTTCTTTCTAAATGTTTCACGTCAGAATGAAGAACAGCGAAGCCTGGAGCTCAGTGGCCATGTGGGGTTCGACAGTCTTCCCTGTCAGCTGGTCAACAAATTAGTTGCTCGTGGATTTTGCTTCAACATCCTCTGTGTTGGTACGTCTCAATCACTCACTTTAGAAGTGAAAAGCATCATCAAGTCATCACTTTATCATTTTTCTCTAAAGGTGAGACCGGAATCGGCAAGTCGACTCTGATGAGCACCCTTTTCGGTAGAACGTTTGAGAACGAAGAAGCCAGTCATTATGAGGAGGAAGTACGGCTGCGCTCTCAGACGTACGACCTGCAGGAGAACACCGTCAAACTCAAGCTGACCATCGTTCACACCGCAGGGTTCGGAGACCAGATCAACAACGAGGAAAGGTGCAGAGTCAGTCCCAAGGCCCACACGTGTCACTCTTTAATCCCACTAGTAACAGGGTGTTTGGTACAAATACCACTAAAACTACCAGTCCCACAATGCACCGGGACAAGCAGTGATAAACCCAGCAGCTCCTCCTCTTCGCTGCAGTAGCATGTTATCATTAATCTGCTTTTCTGAGTTTTCTTCTAATATTTTAAGAGTTGGTGGATTTTTCAGTTCCTGACTTGGACCAAGTTTTTCACTTGTGCCTCTGATGCCCTCCCCTGATCTAGATGGTAAAAACGAGAAAACATAAAAAGTAATTGGCAGCAACTTTTTAGTAGAGTTTAACAATTCGGTTTTGCAGAGTCTGGCACAAATAAGGAAACTGAGATGTTAGAAATTAAATAAACAAATGTTTATGAGATAACTGCCTGTTTCCCTCCTCTTGCTGTCTGATGATGGATTCTAGAGTAAGAAAGCCCATTTGGCGTGAGGTCTAGAAGGGTTCATGGGGAGTGATCAATAGAGAATTTCCTGAATCAGCAGGAAGTATTAAAGTCTGCCGTTCTTGACTGGGTGTGGTGTTTGTAACCCGGATACTGACGTGTCTCTGAGGCAACGAAGAGGCCATTCAATCTCCACTGTTCACAAATGTAGGAATAAAATATAATTTATAATGTTTTTCTCCTTCCCTTTTCAGCTACAAACCCATTCTGGACCACATTGATGCCCAGTTTGAGAAGTATCTTGAAGAAGAGCTAAAAATCAAACGTTCCCTCTTTAACTACGACGACCCCAGAATCCACGTGTGCCTGTACTTTATTTCTCCCAACGGGCATTCCCTGAAGGCCCTCGACCTCATCACGATGAAGAAGCTGGAGAGCAAGGTGATGGAACATTCAGCCTCTGTGTGTTTCACCGGTTCCTCATGTCTGCCGCTCACGGTTGGTTTCCTTGCAGGTGAATCTCATACCTGTGATAGGGAAGGCTGACATTATATCTAAGAACGACCTGAAGAACCTGAAGAGGAACATAATGAATGAGCTGCTCAGCTATGGGGTGCAGATTTACCAGTTTCCTACGGAGGATGAGGATGTTGCAGAGATCAACTCCTCTATAAACGTGAGTCATAACCCCCCCCCCCCACCACCACCACACACACACACCCACCCAGAAATGATGTATTTTATGAGTAAATCTTTGGCCTTGTAGGCCAATATAAAGCTAAACACATCAGCGGATTTCTCTGTGAAAAATGGAATAAACTTTCATAGCATTAGTTTTGATTTACATTGAGCAACATTTTTAATAGAAAATAAATACAGAAAAATTAAAATTCAAATAGGAAAAGTATGAGGAGTGGCACAAGACAGAATAATAAATCAGTGAAGAAATCAGACATAAATTTATAAATATACACAGAAATAACTCAAGACAAATAACAGAAAAAATCAATTTTGTTATTTATTAATAAATTAGACAGAAAAGAAAGGTAATAAAGGGAAAATAATACTAGAAAATTGTTAATTTATCTTCAGATTTCTGTAAGATATAAATGGGTTTATTTCTTTTATGTGAAATAATCATTATTTCCATGTGTCTATTATGATGATGATGATGATTAATAGTAGTAGTAGTGTTTGCACTTTATTTTATTTTGAAAGTAGTGACAAGCAAGCATAAACCAGATTGTTCCACATGTTGCTGAGACTGCCCCCTAGCGGTGAACGTGTGCAGTAAAACAGACCAGGTTTGCAACACAGCCTGAAGAAAGATTTTGTAAAAATAGATTTGAAAATGTGAAAATAATAAGTTATTTCAACAAGGATCAACATTGTCTCGTGTTGTATTTGGTTTCTGAAGAGTAGGCGCGTTAGCGCATGTGTCAGAAATCCTTCCTGCAGGCGAGAAACTGAGCGAGCTCAAACTGTTATAAAATTACTTCACATTGACTAATTCTAAGTTATATTTTAGTTTGTTTGAAAAATAAATATATATCGGATCAGGGTGTGAAAAGAGTCAAGTGAGCTTAACATTTACACTAAGATGAGATGTTTATTTATTTACAATAATGTAAAAAATATTTGGTAAAAACAAACAAACAAACAAACAAAAAATAACCATCTAAAATGGTTGGTCCAGTATTTCAATCATCCTTGACATTTTAAAGAGCACCTCATGTCACGTTAAACATAAATGACTCTTCCAGGTCATTTTACATTAAACTATCATCAATTTTATTTCTAAAGCACTTTCCATCGTCCAGGAGACAAACCAAAGTGTTGTACACACGTAAAAAAGAAATGAAAATATGAAGGACCCCTGCAGCGGTCAACAAATCTATACATAAAACAAATAAAAGCCAAAGATATAGGTCAAGGGGCATAATAAAACAAGATAAAGGATTGCTCAATTATCTATAAAGATAATTTCTCTTGTGCTGTTTCAGAACTGTTTCCCCTTCGCTGTGGTCGGAAGCACCGACGATGTTAAAATAGGAAACCGGATGGTAAAAGGAAGGATGTACCCCTGGGGAGCGGTGCAGGGTGACGCATCTAATTAGTTTCTTGTGCAAGTGTTTAGTTTAGATTCATTTGAAAACAAGATTTAAATGTTTTCATTCAAACGATATGTCTGAAGCAGTCTTTTGTGTTCTGTCTAACCAGTGGAGAACGAGGATCACTGTGATTTAGTGAAGCTGAGAGAGATGTTGCTGCGTGTTAATATGGAGGATCTCCGGGAGCAAACGCACTCTCGTCACTACGAGCTGTTCCGTCGCTGCAAGCTGGAAGAGATGGGCTTCAAGGACACGGACCCTGACAGCCAGTCGTTCAGGTGAAATTAGGGACGCGCTGGGTGTGATTCATCTGAACAGTTTACTCGAGTAAATCTGTCCGGTTGGTTATGATGTTGCTGAACTGCTTCATCCATGAAACAGCACACAGAAACGCAGGTTTAAACTGTAAAACGTGGTTTATTTTAAAGGGTTCAATCAAAGTGGAACACCTTTTTTAATTAAACAAATTCCTCCGCACAAAACAACTGATCTATTTTGTTAGGATTATAAAACTTCTGACCCAAACGCAGCGAACGAGCAGCTAATCTTCTGGCTGATGACACGTCCTCTGATCTCCAGCCTCCAGGAGACGTATGAAGCCAAAAGAAAGGAGTTAATCAGAGAGCTGCAGCACAAGGAGGAGTCCATGAGACAGATGTTTGTCAACAAAGTGAAAGAAACTGAGGCAGAACTGAAAGAAAAGGAAAAAGAGGTGAGGTTTTCACCCGTTCTCCATCTGTAAAACATATCCGGTGTTTCCTTTCATCGTGCCTTCTGTCACGATCTGTAGCTCCAAGAGAGGTTCGAGCAGCTTAAGCGCTTGCATCACGAAGAGAAGAAGAGTCTGGAGGAGAAGAGGCGAGAGCTGGAGGAGGAGATGAACGCCTTCAACCGGAGGAAGGTGGCTGCTGACACGCTGATGGGACAAGCCCTGCAAGGATGCTCACAGCAGCCGCTCAAAAAGGATAAAGACAAGAAGAAGTGAGTCTGGTCTTCATTTCTAATCGTGTTGTTCCTGCACCGTCACCGTTAGCCACCGCTGCAGCCTCCAAAAGAACCAAAAACTCTTCCAGCTAGTCAATGATGAGTTGTTGAATGTCACACAGAGTCATAAGAAACAGACTTGTCTCATCAAATCTTGTCCATGTTGTCATGATAGGACGTGGAGAGGATTAATGAGGTGGAGTACCCACAGGCCTTTTTTTAAAGCTCAGAGACACAAACAGACTGACACTGTGCCCAGACACGTATGAAGCTTGCACGACACAGCCCGACGCTTATGTCTCTGCAGGATGACCTGCCAGACTGTCTCTCAGACGGGGAGACACTTCTGTTTACATTTGAATCGTCTCACTGATGCTTACGCCACGTGCAACACAGATGATGATGGGGGCAATATTAATAATTTTCTTGTGCATACATATAACAGGAGAGTTACGAAAGCGGAAGTCGTGGAGCTGTTAAAACATTCAGTCACTATTTAGCTTTATTAAGGGGATGCTTTGCAACTTTTTTATATTTTTAAATCATTTTCTTAAGCCAATATGTGCTAAAATTGCCCTTTATAAGGTTAATGAAAGGCCAGCCTACCACTATTGCCCCCTGTAGCCAAAATGTTCCACTTGCAACTTCAGAGTGACAGGCCGCTTAGAAAAAATTTAGCTGACATACCTGGCTCTGCAGTCTGGTTCCAGCACGTTTCCTGTTCATGATCAGGTTTTAGATCGTGAACGCAGCTGATTTTTTTAAAATTTAGTGATGAATCCCTCCTGTAGACACAAAGAAAGGCTGGGAGACATTTCAGATGTTAGATCAAGGTGATAAAAAGACGAACGCACAGCAAGGAGATAGCTCTTGCCTTCTGTTCTACAAATGGACACTAGAGGGTGCTAACAGCAAGCCAAAACTTCCTATAGTCCCCTTTAAATGATAAAATATTGATAAGTGGGGTTCAATGACCCTTAGCCTTTAATATATGTAAAATCAGTGGAGGCTTAAGATAATAACCCAAACCCACCATTCTTATTATTGTTAAGAGCTAATATTTTTGGCTTCTTCTCTTTTTTAATTTCCACTCTTTGTTCTTATGTGGATCAAAATGTTCAGTAAAACCAGAATGTTTCTGCTGTTAGAGGGAGAAAATAAACAAGAGCGGTGGCCTTTAATTCTGTTCATGTCCAGCCTTCTTACTGCCTGGTTTACATGAAGGCTATGGAGTCGCTGTGTGCTTTAAACAGTAGCTTCACTTAGTGCATCTATTTGTGATGCTGCCAATGTTCAACTAGGTCGATAGTTATAATTCTTAGCTTTCATTTTTCAGAGTATTACTATATGTTTATCTTTAGTTAAAGGTTTTAAAAGTGACTTCTTAACTCGGAATACACTTTTTTCGTATTAATGGTGCCAGGATGTAAAACTGTGGTTTATATAAAATATGTGATTCTTTTGATTTCTGGAATTTGGAAGACCATTTTATTGTTTGGAAAGCTTTTATTGTGGAAATATAAACTTCCCCATGAAAAATTAAGTTAGTTTTAATAAATGAAGACATTTGAAAAAAAAAGTGTGCATCACTTTTGTCTCATTCATGAGGCTCCGCCCCTTAAAAAGAGAACAGAGAAAGAGCTGAGGCTTCTGCATCACATTTGGCATCGCTCATGTTTATTTAAAAAAAAATCCTGTTCACTTCCCAAAGTGTCTCTGCTTTAGCGCGTCATCCGCTGCAGGGAAGTTGTACAGTTTGAGCTGAAGCCGAACACTACGAGTGAAAAAGTTGCACAGTGTCCGCCCGGCTTTAAAGATCTGCTCCTCTCCATTCTTCCCTTTCAAACTAATTCCTATGATCTCTGTGAGATCATTTATCAGACTTATGGGACAATCTTGAATCCTAAACATGGATATTTGCTACATGATGCTACAAAATAAATCAGTTTGACTATTGCCTTTTAAATGATGGGGTTGCTTTCCCCCCACTGAGGGTCAGCTTTGCACAGGGGCGGGGTATCTGGATGTTTCTTCCTCTCCTCACACATGTCCATCACACACTCAAACACATTCACCATTACCAGAACTCTCAGCATTCCTGTTAAACTGGTTGTTTTTAGTCAGAGCCACGGGTTTGTTTGTGTCCTGAACAAAAACAGAGATTTGCCTGACATTTTCTCTCTGAATACACATGTTTATGCATTCATTAGTTGTCCTAATAACTGTTGCATATTGAAATAATGTTTCCCTTTCCTTTCATAGCTTCTTTAGCCTTCCATCTGCCTGCTCCTTAACCTCAGGACGGAATTTGAATTAGAAGACTTTCTGCCGCACGAAGCCATCAGACTAACTATCAGGTGTTTCATTTTTACAATGTTCAATCCAGATTTTATGGATATGAAACATTCTTGGGGGTTTCTGAAGTCTTCCATGTCTGCAAAGCGTTGCTCTTTAATCTTTCTGTAGCATGCTCTCTGCATGGCTCCTGCATTCCAGCAAGTATTAATGACATTCCTTTGCCAAAATGTGTTAGTACTAAATGTGAGTTTACAATGTCATGCCTGTAAACTATCACTGTGAAAATACAGTATTAACCTCATGTTCTATCACTGTTAAAATATGTACTTTTTGTAGTCATATAATATTTTAAAGCACTTTAAATCAGTAGAAATACTGTCTTGCATCATATTTCCAACAATGGTGTCTTGTCATTCTGAAATTTCTATCCTTATAATATTTCCTAAAGATGTAGATAGAAATATTTACCTGTTTAAACTACAGAAATGATATATTCTGTTATGTGAAAATGACTGGATGTATATAGACACTCTGTTATGGGACAGTGGAAGCCCACTTGCAGATTATGAACCCTGATGTAATAAAGAGTCAGTTTGTTGAATAATGTTTGTTCTTCTTACCCCATGTCTTCCTATTGACTTAAAAAACTAAGACATGCATTTTCCACATTGGTAAGTTGCATGCTTTGCAGGATCAGATCCTTCTAGAAACTTCCATGCAGTTCTCCGTTTAAACAAGAGGTGAACCTGTACTTTGTCCAAAACGTTTGTTACATTAATTTTCTGCTTATTCTTCCCTGTTGTCTTTGGAATAATTTGATATCTTTTATGTCACTATTTTGAATAATTGAATTGTTTCCATTGTGACTGACAAGGCCTTAAAATGATCAAACACCAATGTAAGTAGTAAGGCTTTATTTATTTAATATATAAATATATGAGCTATTTTTAACTGTGAAGGTAATAGTATCCACTAAATGTAAATTTTTGTCACCAAATATGAGCAAACAGTTGCTCCTCTTTTTTCCTTCAGGCCATTTTTGGGTGCTTCACAATGATTGGTTTCTCAGCAAAAAAGAAGGCGGGGCGTGATTGTGATCGACTGGTGTCTTATCTAATTGGAATAGAAAATCAAAACTGTCACGGGTTAGCAGCCAATGAGAAGTCAGAATGTCAGAACATGAGCTCCGTTTTATTCCTTCTTATTTACCTAATCAGTCCTTTTCCCCGTCGCCTTACTCCAAGGGTAGGGGGTGTGCATAGGCAGAAGTTAACCTATGCTTAAACCTTGATTTAGTAACAGTTCATACTTACACCTTTGTGTTATTTTACTTCTTTACATTCGCATTTTCAACGCGCGTAAGGATTTTTTCAGGCAATTTTATTTAAATATAAAAGCAGTAACCTCTCAAGGTAAGTAAACCAAGCTCTTATGTACGTTAAAATAAGTATGTTTGTCATTTTGTATATTTTACTGTTAAGCGTTTAGTTGTCAGATAGTTCGTCAGAAACAAGCATCGTACTAACTTGGATTGATTTTAGCTAGCGTTAGCAGTGCTAGCTAACAACTGACCTTTCTGTTCCACTTTACTTCATATGTCCCCTAAACCTTCAACATTTACGTTGTTTATATCCTACTAAAGGCGGACAGTGGTAGTCAATCCAGTTTTAACCCCAGTTGGTGTAGTTAGACGGTGTTGCGTCAGTAGTTTGTTGTCATCATTGGTGTTGCATTAATGTGTGCGGCAGGAACATGTCCCGACATGACGCAGGACCTTCCTCAACAAGACCCGCTCCTCCAACCTTCGTCCAAACCATCAAAACCTGATTAGAACACTGGAAGTAGAGTGTTTACATGAAGTTTTAGAAAAACGGAGTCTTTACGAGCATTATTAAGGTCAATGGCAGTGGTCTTGTTCTGTGTTGTCCTTTTACTGACTGCTGAACTAGTTACGCAGCAACCTACTGGTATGATCTCTTAACCACCCTTAACAGTTAATGTTTAATAATGACAGATCTTCAGGAAATGACTTAATATGAATATTGCATCAATTAGTCATGGATTAAAACAGTTGTTGCTCACATTTAAGAGGTGGAAACGCATTATGTTGAAACATAGCCATGACTTGGCATTTATTAGTTGGATTATGTGAAAATCACAGGTGTGTTTTCTGGGTGAGTTGGTGTGGGTATTGATTTTCCTTTTGTCTGTTCAGATGATTGACACAACACCTGGAGCAAAGCCCTTTGCAGTTCAGCTGAAGGCCCTGATGGACCTGGAAGGCCGATACCAACCAAAGCTGAGTGGTCTGAGGCTCATCGAGAGTGCCCAGGACAACAACCTCAGGATGACCACCAGGTTGAGAGAACTAGAAGTTAAGGACCTGCTCTCCCTCACCAGGTTTTTTGGTTTCAGCTCAGAGACCTTCTCACTGGCCACCAGCTTGCTAGATCGGTTCCTCTCTGTGATGAAGGTTTGTCTTTGCAGTAGTGCCTCTAAAGTGAATCCACAATGTCCCCAAAACAGCTTGTGATCATGACGTTGTGTGGTCTACAGATTCAACCCAAGCACCTGTCCTGTGTTGGACTGTGCTGCTTTTACATTGCTGTGAAGTCTTCAGAGGAGGAGAAGAACGTGCCGCTGGCCAGTGATCTGATCCGCATTAGTCAGAATCGCTTTACGGTGTCCGACATGATCAGAATGGAGAAGATCATCATGGAGAAGCTCTACTGGAAGGTGAAAGCCCCCACAGCGCTGCACTTTGTCCGCCTGCTTCACAGTCACATCCAGGAGCAGCTCGACACTGAGAGGTAAGGATTCATGCTTTTAGTCCATCAACCTGAAGAACAAATACTTCTGGTTTCGTCTTGTAAAGACTGAACCTTTTCAATACTTATTTTACAGCAGGAAGATCCTGAGCATTGAAAGGTTGGAGGCCCAGCTAAAAGCGTGCCACTGCTCGTTTGTCTTCTCTAAAATTAAAGTAAGCCCTAAAACCTCCCCTTAATTAAAACTATGGGAAGTTATGTTGATTTTAAAGCCATAAATATGTGCATAATCACTGCTTATGGTAAAAAGAACTAAAGGTTCTGCTTTTTACAGCCATCTCTTTTTGCCATTGCTCTGCTGTGCTTTGAGGCACAGGAACAACATGACCCGGAGCACGCAAACAAAGTATTCGAGGCTCTGAAAAACTTGCAGCAGCAGCTAAATGTAAGTGTTGTAGAAAACCACAATTTTTGCAGACACATATAACTGATGTTTGCATTTAAAATAAACAAAAAAAAAACAACAACCATCATTTCTGTGTACCGTAGGTGAAAGACGGTGACCTGGTGTGTGTCCGAGAGCTGGTCGGAAAGTGTCTAGCTGAATACGCCACCACCAAGTGCTCCAGAACCATCGGCCAGAGACTCCGCTGGACAATCTCAGGAAGAACTGCTCGTCAGCTGAAGCACAGCTACTACAAGATCGCTCATCTACCCACCATCCCCGAGTCTGCTAGTTAAACCGGGGGCAGAGGGACGGGTGACGTCACAGTTGTCCTCACTGTAACGGTCACCCAGTAACGCTTTATTTTCCTTACAGACTTTCATCAACGATGATGCATTTCTTTAAGGAAAAGCTTTTGTTTCCTATAAGGTTGATTAAACACACTATTTGTCCCTTTTGAGGTGGATCTGCTGCCACACTGCTGAGTTTAGCTTTTCTGGTTGTGTTGCCTGCACAGGTGTACACTTATGTACCTGTTTGAATCTGTACTGAGGTTTTTGGTATTCCCTGGTATGGGTTTTTGGTTTTAAGCTTAAAAGTATTGAACCACCTAGGTCCTCAGTCCACCATGTGGAAGAGGAGGGAGAAGGATTTTGAGAACATCAAAGACGGAACCAAGAAATCGGGCCCAAGATCCTTAACTCCCACCCTAGGTTGATAAGCTGTCCTGAATTGCACACTCCTACCCAAGGTGATGATTTTCTTTTTTTTTTTTTTTTGATGAGGTGAGGGAGCGCTCCTGGTTTAGACCATTGAAGTGGAACGAGTGGTGACGCGGTCACTCGTGGCTAACGTTATGTTCGAACTGAAATGTTCAACACCTAAGTTGTTTTCACTGAATCCACATTCTGTGGACACCATGTGATTGAAATTAGTTTTAGTTCACTAAAAGTTGCCATTGTCATGGGAATGCAGCTTGGAATTTGTTCAGCATTTTCTTTCCCAGTTTCCCTGCCTGGGACGTTTTTGCTAGTGACAGTAATAGTGTTCTAGAGTTCAAAACGGTCAAAGGAAAGCCCCATCTGACAAACTTGTGCACCTGTACCTTTCAATAAAATTTTATTGAAAAGCTATAACTGTTTTGTGTTTAACAAATACTAAGAAAAGTTCTCCCATTTTCTCGCTGTGGACTTTATAACTTTTCAAACAAGGCTTTTAAAAAGTCTTGTGGCAGAGAATCCAGAGAAAAGAGCAGCTCTGACAAGCCTTCCGTTTATAAAGATGTCTGCTCTCAGAACAGAAGACCTGTGCCTGTGTGTGTGGTGAACAGGCAGAAGTAACACTTGGGTGTGGACCAGGTTTTCACATCAACGCTAACGTCACTGCTGTAAGCTGGAAAAGTCGGGACCGCCGCCAGCAAAGTTCCCCGAAATTTCTGCACCGCTGAAGTCAAATCCAGGATTCTAAGGGAAAAAAAATTAACCATGTTAGTCTTTCTGTAGAAAGCTTTAAAAAAAAAAAAAATTAAGACGTATGTTTGCTTTTCAAACAGCCTGACAACATCACACATGTAGCAAGAACAGGTTAATAAAATCAGAACTTCCATTTCAACTGCCTGAAATAACAAGAAAGCTGTTTTAAGATCTTACAATATATTGAAAATGTTCTTGAATGAAGTATAAAGAATGGAGCTGCATTGTTAAAGTCCCATCACACTGGTGTGTGTGCGAAATTTGTTCTCCGCATTTGACCCATCCCCTGGGGGAGCGGTGAGCTGCAGACACAGCCGCACTCGGGAACTATTTGGTGGTTTAACCCCCAATCCAACCCCTTAATGCTGAGTGTCAAGCAGGGAGGCATTGGGTCCCATTTTTCAAAGTCTTTGGTATGACCCGACCAGGAATCGAACCCTAATCTCCCAGTCTCAGGGCGGACACTCTACCACTAGACCACTGAGAAAGGTTGTGTTTTGTGTTTTTAGCCTTTCATTAATGGAATCCTGCTGGTTTTCTGATCATAAACAAGCAAGTCAACAAAGTCCCTTCTAGGACAAGACCTCTGGTCAAAGTGACTTACTGTGCTCTATGTGGTAAATATTACAACATTCTTATAGAATTGCTCCATAAATCAACATTTGTTCTAAACTTGAACGCCTCTGTGTCAGCTGCTTCATCCAAGAGTGAGGTTTACTGAAATCCTGACATTTCCTTTTGTTCATTTATTGAGTTTATTGTCCTGACAACAAGCAGCGTGAGTCTCAGGTTGTGGAGAACGAAACAAACCTCTCGCTGAAACCTCTCCAGAGTGAGTTTTCTCTGCATCTGGTCCTGGACCCAGGCATTTGCACAGTACTCTCCCTCCAGCAGGGAGGGCCAGCAGTTCCCAGCTTCTCTGTTGGTTTTCATTAAAACGATACGGATGAGACATTTATCCTCTGAGGAGAAAGGAGAAAAACCAATGATACAAATATGACAGGAGGCTGGAGTTTGTACGTTTACAGGAAAGTAAGTTAATTAGCTGTAGTTGACTTACCCAGCGTCCAGGTAGCCTCATCAGACACAGTGGTGCCAAACAACGTTCCCTGTCAGAGTAAAAGAAAGGACATGTATTAAGTAGCAGTTAGAATAGAGATGCACCCAGTCTGGTTTGGACGGCTGTTACTGGTTTCTGACCAGCAGATCCTGGATTTGGCGGGTCGTCAGATCCTTCCACACATGTAAAAACTTCCACACATAAGAGATGGTAAATACATGGACTGGGTCCTTTTATTACTGCGGGGAATGGTTGCATTCAAGAATCCAAACAAACAAAAAGAACAATGACAGAAAGGCTGCATGGTAGCACCATTCCTGCACATTCATGTTCTCATGCATATGTGGGTTTGCTCCAAGGGGGAATCGAGGAGCAAAAAGATGAAGCCAACACAGGAGTGACAAAAACTAAAGTCCTCCACTCATCTGATGGGGACTGGCACCAGGAATGAGCAAATTCACATTGACTCCCATGTTAAAAATTCCAAATGCTCAGCAGAAATGAACATGTTTACAGCCTGGCTCCAGAAACCATTTTAGGTTAAATGGATCTAGTTTGACATGACCACTCTGGGCCTGGGGGTGTTGTAATCAAATGCTTGAAATGATGAATATTTTGATATGATTGACCGGTTGCATGAGCATCAAAGCTAGTGCTAGAGGCTAGCTCCAGGGAAGGCCTCGGCCTTGGACTCACGTTAATAGATGTTTGGCTGTTTAGACTCTGAACTTTAGTTGTGTCCTCTGTGAGTTTGTGTTCAGATGTTAATCGTGGAATCATTTGGACAAAGACGGCAGGATGTGCTATTCAATGTGCTAAGAGATCATCCAAGAAGTTTCGGCTTCCTTTTTATCAGTAAGTAAAATAATATTTCTCTACTTCATTTTGCTGGTTGAATGGGGGAAATGTTGCGCATTTGACATAACACTGCTTGGTTGAAGATGGGTTAAAATATATAATGTGTTGGTTCAACTGGCTGGGTTCTGAAACTTGAGCTGGGTAAGCTGGCTGGCCTAGGCTAGCGGAGATGTCCGGCTTCTCCGGGCCAGGAACAGTTGCTAGAGGCAGCCAAGCCATATGGCCTCCTGGCTTTTCCAGGCTCCCATGTGAGGCTGTAGTCATCCTGGTTGTCTGTGGAGGTCTGAGGGTGACCACAGAAGCACTGCAGCTCATTCAGTTGATGCTGCTTCAACTTTGAGTCACTCAACTGAGTTTTTCTGGCTAAAAGCGCCCAAAAACCCATTAGCTTCAGGTTAGCTCAGGTACTTAGTAGCTACTCCCATTGGCTCCAAGCTCCGTGTAGGTTCAGGTTAGATCTCCAACTGCTGTGCAGGAGCAGAGCGCGAGTTCACGTACGCGGCCTGGGCGCCCGACTCCGATCACGGGGGTCTGAGGCTGTGCTTGTATTTTAATGGTTAGCTACAAGCTTTGTGTAGCTTCGGGTTAGCTCGTAGCTACACTGGTTCAGGGTTTATGGGTGTCAATCATTCGTGCCTACCCCTACAGCCTCATGGGCTCGACACACGGGAGGCGACCCGCGTTCTGTTCCATGGCGAAATCGAAACTTCCGTTGTTTTGATTGGCTGTGTCAGGTTGGAGGGAATTAAGGTTATTTAAGCGGTTCAGAGTTAATAAAGTGGTAGATATGATGTTTCACAAGGTGCTGCTAGAGTTATGTGAAATCTTACTTCTGATTTTACTTTATAAAACATAATAATAATCAACTTCTCCTTCGTGTTTGCTCGGAGGTGTGCGGAGCATCCTGTCCGCTCATTGGTCAGTGAATGAAACCTCCGTTGATTGGTCCTCTTCCGAGCGACAGCGATGAAAAGTTGAAAATATTTCAACTTTCTGGGATCGCCTGTGCACGACACGTGCACGAACGCAAAATTTCACATGCACGTTTTTCACGTTTTTCTTGGTAGGAGGGAGACCCGCGATTATCGCTTTGTCGCACATGTCTCATCGAAAATGAAAGGAGGAGAGGCGATGTCGCCTCCCGTGTGTCGAGCCCATCACTCTCAGCTCCAAGTCTTTTCCCATTTTTGGATTGTCTGGGCGTGACGAGACATGTGACACGGCAAAGATGGTGGTGGTGGGAACCGCCCATTTGACTTCATAAATGTCTTTTGGAAAGCAATGGGTGAGGTTTGTCCATGGTTTTTATACATCTATGGTTTTCTCCCACAGGCCAAAAACATAAATTGTCCATATGTGTGAGTGTGTGTCTTGTCCGTCTCTGTGATGGACAGGTGACCTGTCCAGAGTGTCCCCCAACTCGTTTCTTGCCCAGTGACTGCTGGAGATAGACACCAGCAGCTCCCACTGAGGAGTAGGCAGTTGGAAAACTGGGTTTTATTTGGTAAATAGGGTTGTAAACATAGTAGATAACTGGAATTGGCCAAATGGGTCAAAGCTGTTAAAACACATCAGCATCTGTCCTACATTTAGAATTGGTGCATTTGTTATTGATTAATTTTAGATTGTAGAAACAAACCTAAGAGTAAATTAAACGATAAGAGACATAAATATTAAAGTGAATAAAAATCAAACAGATTATAACTGACTCCAATCAGAACAGCCTAGATGCCTCTTCCCGGCTGTCTCCATCCCGATCAGAATCAGGAATGTCTGATAATAAAAACGATCAGATCAAACTACGTCCTGCTGAATATTACCTTGAATATTTCATTCCCTCTGACATGCAGCTCGATGTCTCTGGTTCCTAAATGGCACTTCACCTCCTTAGCAGAGGTTCCCTGAGGCACGGTGACTTCGATGTAGACCTCCTCCATGGTCTGGTACCAGGAGCCCCAGGGGGTCTTGCAGGGGATGACGCCGCTCCTCTCCTCAAAGTGTACCGACATGGTGAGACTTCACACCGACCCACTGGGTTTAAAGGTTTTATAAACAACCTCCACGTCGTTCTGTTTTATCTTATTTCAGGTTCCCTACTGGACAAACTTGCACCTCTTCCTCTCTGTATATTTCCGGTTAGATATGAGCTCACGGCTGCAGCGCCCCCTTGTGTCTAGAAACAGGAACTACACGGCACAGAGTTAATTTTGTGAGCCTGACAGGTGGCTGAGCCACTAGTCTTCTTTTATTTATTAATTTTTTGACTTATATGAAGAGTTTTGCTTGTGTTAAAATGACCTGATATAACCAGAGCAGGAACAAAGTGAGCCTACAGTTTGTCTAAAAAGGGAGTGGATTTACTAATCAGTTAATTAGATTAGCTCCTACCTTGGTTCTTTCAGCTTCATAAAGCAGTCACCGTAACAGCTCATAAGGAAACCTGCTGCTTGTTTATAAACATATGCGTGTTTAGATTTTAACGGAAAAGCTGATAGATTGTTACCAAGGATGGCTGCTGTTTCTCCAACGTTGGGTGCTGTAATCTGCTGGATTAGGTAAATCTTCACTCTGAATTGAAAGGCATTTAAGAGTACGGCGAACCTTTGGTATTTCACTTTTTTATTCTTACAGTCTAGGTATTGTACAAGGAGGTGGGAAAGTATACTCAGACAACATTACCCGTATTTTGGACCGACTTTTGGATGGATATGACAATAGATTACGACCTGGTTCTGGGGGTAATTCAGGGCATAAAACTTTTTTCCTTATCTCGCACATTGAGAACAATCCATTGGTGTTGTGCAACATTATAATGACACAATAAATATGAGTTTTATCTGTTACAGGTGGGATTACAGAAGTAAAAACAGACATCTTTGTCACCAGCTTTGGACCTGTTTCAGATGTAGAGATGGTAGGATACTCCTCCCCTAAGATTTGTGTGCTGACTGAGAGAAATGAAAGTGCTTTAGTGGCCAGCCTTATGAGCAATCTGCTATGAGACGTCTAATGAGCTTTAATCTGTCTGACTGGCCCCATAACTCTATTATTGATGGCCTCTAAATCAATATGACAACATGTCATACAGCAGGAATGACCGAATGGATTGATTCATGAGTACACTGGATGAGTGGCATCTATCATTGCTCATTCTCTCCTCACCTTTCATTGCAAATACAATCGTCTCTACAATGTTACACGCTGCATTTTAAAGCTGGAATTAGGACGTTCTAACGTGTTGTGTTCCTGCGTCAGGAATACACCATGGACATGTTCTTTCGTCAGATGTGGGTAGATGAGAGGCTGAAATTCGAGGGTCCAACCGAAATTCTGCGTCTAAACAACAAGATGGTGGACAAGATTTGGACCCCAGACACATTCTTTAGGAATTCCAAGAAGTCGATTTCCCATAACATGACCACGCCGAACAAGCTATTCCGCATCATGCAGAACGGGACTGTCCTCTACACCATGAGGTGATCACTAGTCTCTACACGTCTAGGCTCAAGGAAATACACTCCTGAAACTATTTTCCGAATGCCTCTTACTTTTAGGCTAACAATTAATGCCGAGTGTCCGATGAGTCTGATGAATTTCCCCATGGATGGCCATGCGTGTCCTCTAAGATTTGGAAGCTGTGAGTAAAGCAGATTTGCACCTACTTATGTGATTAACCATGGTGCTTACTTGAACTTTCTTCTTGAATGCTTTTTGATGTAGTTGCATACACCAGCAGTGAAATTAAATTCACCTGGAGGAAGGGGCTAAGAGCTTCTGTTGAGTGTCCAAAAGAGTCCATGAGTCTCCTGCAGTATGATCTCGTTGGACAGACTTTGTCCAGCGAGATCATGAAGTTAAACACAGGTAATGCTTCTAAACAGCAATTTTATTCTTTTATACAACACCCAAGCATAACAGCAAACGCTGCTTTAGCATTGGTCTAATGCATACCCACTAGTGCCCTAAAAACGACAGGTTTTAAAGCCATGGTGGTAGATGGACTTGGAGGAGGACACACTGAGTTGAGAAGCTTCTCCTGTAACCCCGCTCAGTCCCTTGTTGCCTTTTCACTCTTCACGTGTGTTGCTTATTCTGGCAGGTCACTACTCAGTGCAGGTGGTCCATTTCCTCTTGCAGAGGAAGCTTGGCTACTACCTCATTCAGACCTACATCCCTCTTATAATGATCGTTGTTCTGTCGCAAGTCTCATTTTGGATCAACAAAGAATCCGTTCCTGCACGCACAGTTGCAGGTACCCCCCCCCCCCCCACACACACACACACACGCGCACTTTACATCCCATTAATAGAAACATGATTTATGTGCTTATCAGTGTGATGAACAGAATCTTACATTTGCTTTTCTTTTCAGGCATCACCACAGTACTGACCATGACCACCTTGAGCATCAGCGCCCGCCAGTCTTTGCCTAAAGTTTCCTACGCCACAGCCATGGACTGGTTCATTGCTGTGTGTTTTGCCTTTGTTGCATCAGCTCTGGTTGAATTTGCAGCAGTGAATTACTTCGCCACTTTGCAGGCGAATCACCTGAAGAAGCAGAAAGCCAGGCAAGACAGACTAGAGGTGTTAGCTGCTGGTAGCGAGGATGACGACACCATTTCGGTAAGCAGTCGAATCCGTGGTGGCGCCAGAAGTATTTTACTGCTACCAGTGAGGCATGAATGCAGCAAACCATATTGATATTTGTGTGTATTTAACACAGACTTAGTATCTTTGCCCACAGGTATTAATTCACTTTTATGTTTAATCCTCTTGGCTCAATCATCCATTCATTTTCGTCAGCTTACCTGGGGTTGAGTGACGGGGGCAGCAGCCTAAGCAGGGACGCCCAGACTTCCCTCTCCTCAGTCAATTGGGCCAGCTCCTCCAGGGGAAGCCTACGGCGTTCCCTGGCCAGCCGAGAGGCGTAGTCCCTCCAATGTGTCCTGGGTCTTCCTTTAGGTCTCTCCCCGGTTATATGTTCCAAGAAAACCTCATCAGTGGGGCGTCCAGGAGACATCCTAACTAGATGCCTGAGCCACCTCAAACGGCTCCTCTTGATGTGGAGGAGCAGCAGGTTTACTCCGAGCCCCTCCTGGATGACCAAGCTTCTCACTCTATCTCTAAGGGAGAGCCCAGCCACCCTGCAGAGAAAACTCAGTTCGTCCTCTCGTATCCATGATCTCATTCTTTAGGTCACCACCCAAAGCTTGTGACCATAGGTGAGGGTAGGAACGTAGATCGACCGGTAAATCAAGAGCATTCCGGCTCAGCTCTCTTTTTACCACAACATATCGGTACAACGCCCGCATCACTGCAGACACAGCACCAACGATGTTCCATCTTTCCCTCACTTGGGAACAAGACTCTGAGCTACTTAAACTCCGCCACTTGAGGCAGGACCTCGTCCCTGACCAGAGAAGGCATTCTTCCCTTTTCTGACTCAAGACCATGGTCTCAGATTTAGAGGAGCAGATTCTCCTCCCAGCTGCTTGGCTCAATTATGCAATCTAAAAGAACCATCACTTGGGTTGTACCGCTTATTTTCTTGTTTTATCGTCTTTTGTCCAGTCAGTTATAATCAACCAATAAGCATTTATAATCAGAGTCTTTCAAAATGCACCGATTCCTTGGAAAGTATTGTGAACTTCCCACTTTACCACCAATCCTGAATCCGTCCATCTGGATTTACACGTTTGAACAGGGGTTGTCCCGTCCTGCCTGACATGTTCCAGCATCATTTTTAAACGTTCTGATAATGATGGGTGGTTCCGAGTGTCTTCCTGCTGTTGTGGTAATAATAATGCTTTAACTCTGATGCAGAGGAAAGAAAAACTGATCAGTCTTTTTCAACACATTTTCAAGTTTCCTTCACACTTCACATTTAAAGGGCACATCACACAACATATGCTGTTTTATGGTCTCATCTCAAGCTATGGGTTTTATGCCAATTCAGTAAGCCACCACAGCGTCCTCCTGGGATCCGTCTCACATGTAAAGCTCATGGTTAGATGTTTTAAAAATAGTGTCAGTGTGAGAACAGAACTCCAGCTGCTCTCTGAATTAACTCTAACCATCACAGGCTTCCAGAAAACAAGCTGCATACAGATGTTTTTATAACACAAATAAAAAAAATGGTGATTTTTGCATTATTTTTGTTGTCTGTCAGTGACCATGATGTCCATACTTCATCTCCTCCTTTTCTTTTCCTCCCAACCCTCCTCCCACCTCCATCCCACCAGTCGGACAGCAGCCCTCAGGGGGGCCTCAAGAGGAGAAACCACTCAGTGAGCTACAGTGAGCCAGACGATACTCCTCCACTACCCGTTTTCTTTCAGCAGGGATCAGCTTTTCCTCAAATCCCACAGCTGGCCGGAACAAGCCCGATTGACGTCTACGCCCGTGTCCTCTTCCCTCTGACCTTTGCTCTTTTCAACCTAGTTTATTGGTACATCTACTTGGCCAAAGACCCCTTGGAGATGGTCGGGTGAGTGTTCCACTTTTATCTACACAGAAACAACTAGTTAAACAGAAAATTATTTCTGTTTTTTTGAATAGTTAAAGGTGTTTTTTTAATGATTATTTCTGATTATAATCGGTCACTGTGAATTTTTCATGCAGGCTGAACATAAAAATAGTCTCCTACATCTATCTCCTGCATTAGCTTCTGACAGACGGTGAAAATGGAGAATTTAAAGATCCAGACAGAGCTACGTCCCACTCTTGCAGTCTTTAATGAAAAAAGTAATGAAATAGTTATTTTTCTTGGTAATTAGTTACTTTTATAATCTTGTAACTCTGTAAGTAACTGAGTTACTTTTTTAACAAAGTAATCAGTAACTATAACTAATTACTTTTTTAAAGTAACATTCCCAACACTGTAAGGCTGTTGTTGTTTTAACGTCCAGGAATCAGCAATCAACCTGACTAGCAGAAGCTAATCGTTAGCATTTGTACCGCCATCACACAGAAAAACCCCTCCAGGCTTGAGCTATTTGTGGAGTTAAAACATCAACGTTGCAAGTCAGTGGTAGAGTTGCGTTGCTGTTATTAGTGTGATGCAAGACATCCAAATATCAGGAAACAAGACTCCAAATCCTGCCGTGTTCCTCCACTTTCTGCAGGAGCAGACTTGGTCGTGCTAATCCAAGCAATTCTGGGCTTTTTTCTTTTTTTTTTTGCCCCGACTTGCAAGGCTTTCATTCCTACCAGAGACCACTGCAAATGAATTAATGAAATGGGTTTCCCACACCTTTAAATGAATGCAGATGGGAAAATAAAGGAAATGTTTCTTTTACACATTTTACCATTCAAGCAGCTCTCTTGAAATTTTCATAATTTAAATACTTATTGAGTTTCTATGGAAGCCCATTCCCGCCACGCAGATAAAAAAATTATTATCTCATAATTATGACTTAGCTATCTCATTATTATGAGATAGCATCTCATTATTATGAGATAGTATCGCATAATTATGAGATAGTATTGCATAATTATGAGATAGTATTGCATAATTATGAGATACCAAGTCATAATAATGAGATACTATCTCATAATAATGAGATAGCTAAGTCATAATTATGAGATACTAAGTCATAATAATGAGATAGTTTCTCATTATTATGAGATAGCATCTCATTATTATGAGATAGCTAAGTCATAATTATGAGATAATAATTTTTTTTATCTGAGGGGCGGGAATGGGCTTCCATAAGTATCTCTGATACTGAAAAAAAATTATATATATATATTTTCCAAGTAGTAAATGAACGTTAGTTTTTTTAACATAAACTGCCTTGAGACAGAAGAAAGTCAGGGTCTAAAGTCCTTACGATGTTCAGATGATATGAATATTCATCTATTTTAGTGTTTTAATCCTCATGTCCAAAAAGAAAAAAGAAAGAGATAAAACATTCATTCTTTTAAGAAACTTTTTCTTATTATTAAGATCAGAGGTGTCCAAGCTTTTTTCCGTCTGCCATTTTTACACTTTTTATGACTGAGACTGTCTTTATTTATATTTTCGCTGTTAATACGGAGATTATTTGGAGAAACACAGAAACATAAAATAACAGAGGAAGAGAGGCAGAGACTGAGACATTTGGAGAGTTGTTCAACGTAGACATTGGCTGTTAAATCTCATCAACTTCGTCAGATTTGGTTTGTAAATAAATTATGCTTAAATTTTATTATGATGGCTTCAGTAAAAAAAAAGACAACATCTAATTATTGTCAAAGACTCAACCAGCCTGCGAGATCACCAGTGATGTCTGATGCTGAAACGTCCTCAGCAGTTCAAGACAAAAAGGAGAATACGGTACGGTTTTGGTGGTTTTCATCCTAGTGATACCACACGTCTAAAAATAGATGGGTGCTCCTTTTAAAGCAGAGAAATGCACCCATTTTCATGTAAGTTTTACCTGCAGGCTTGTTAAAAGGAGCAGAAACACCTCCCTCCCGTGTGATGACACCACTGTTTCTCCATAGGGAACAAACCCAAGCAGAGCTCACTTAGTAGGTTATCTCCAGAAGAACTTAAGCGAGCCACTTTACTGAACAGAAAGCTTCGTGTCCAAGAAGCAAAATAAGAGTTAGAGTGCAACACAAAAAAGGAAAGAAAAACGCGAGAGGGTGAGGGAGAAAGCGAGAGAGATCTGTTATGTAACACTGAAAAGTGTAAATCTGCCCATCATGCTTCTTGTGTCTCTGCTGGCGAATATTTTATGGCTGCTTTGTTTATATCGTTGTGCAGGAAAACATGGGGAGCAGCTGCAGCACATCTACTCCTTTTGTATTCTGCCTCTGAGTTGTACTTTTGAGGGCTGAGAGGATGAGGATGAGGAGGATGGGAGCAGCGTACTGCAGAGAGAGCATCTCTGAATGTAGAGTCAAATGAGGTTTCTGTGCACAGCTCACACTTCTTGATCTGTTGTGTTCTGGTCTTTGCAGGGAAAGGGATTTTGAAAACTAGGAAGACTTTTAGAGGAGCAACCTGAGAGACCTTCAGCATCACACTCCCCTCCAAGTTGTTAGCATTCACTCTGCTTCTCCCTGACAGAGGAGATGTTTTAGAAACTCCTGATTCTCCAGCAGGACATTTCTGAATTTCAGGCTGCCTGTTTGTGTCCTGATCAGTGGCTGACGGCACGCCTCGTCAAAAGGAAGCTGTGGTCTCTGCAAACCCCACCGCCCACCGCACGTCACCTTCTCAAGTCGAGCGAGACCCCACGCACAAGCTTGTTCAGATGCACACTTAGACACCAAGAAACACATCAAAAAGATGAGGATGATATAATCTGCGATGGCTGTAACGGGTGGTGATGCAACGGTGAACCAATGCTTTCAGAGGCCTGCCCTCTACAGAGGCACCGCTCCCTCTACAACAAGATCAAAGGCAGTTTGGAAGAGGCTTGCATCTCCCTCGCTTCAAAATTCTGTTCAAACCTGCTAAAATGAATTGTGGCACCATGTTTTCCTTCTCGCCTCTCTTTGCACTTTCGGATGTTACTGCAGTAAAGAATGCAAATGAAATGTGTTGGTTCAAGGGTACCTTTCTCAGAAAAGCTTCATTATTAAAAACTGGGACAAATGTTTATCTACTACAATCAAGTATAGTGCAGAAATACTTCACAGAAGTTTACTATGGGTGTGATGATGTCATGCACTGCAACCCCAGCTTTCCACTGGATGTGTAAGTGACTCATAACGTACGGTGCATCTTACACACGACCTCAGCGGAGCTTTCCCTACCATTAGCAGCATTTCAGACACCAAACGGCAGCGAAAGCATTCCGTGCAGCTGGTCCCAAGATGCAAAGTCACTAAATCACTGGAGAATTGCATGAACATGCGTGATTTCGGCACTTCACAAGATAACAAGCACATAAAAAGATGACAACTTGTTATGCATAAATGTATGTGGTTTATTTTCTGCTCTGGAAATCTGCCTGACTTTAATCTGAAAGTTTCCAGATGTTTTACACCGCTCCCGTGTTTGACTTCCTGTCTTGCTTGATCTGAACTGCTGAGCTTGTTTCATTCTGGAGGTGTAGGCACGTTTAAAATGCGACGCGTACGGCCAGTGGAAATGCACCCGTCCACTGTAATGGCAGCTACCTGCAGCATACTACAATTCATGGGCATTATGCGACGCTTAAGCTTCTAGTGGGATGTTTTACCCGTTAATATTTAAAATCCTTTTGCAAACAAACTATTCTTATTTCTGTAACTTTTAAGACGTAAGCCATTAAACCACATTGAAATGAAGGTATATTTTGTCTTCTGTTACCCCACTGTATCTCTCCCTGCAGTATAGTTTCCTCTCAAATCTCCAAATTCAAGCTTCCGTACACAGCAGTTCTATTTCAGCAAATAAATAAATAATAAAAAATTTAACAAATTCCCTTTCAAACTGATGGGTCTCGTTTTACTTGTCTTACGTCACGTATGAAAACATTCAGAAAACCCTCTTTAAATTTTTCACATCAACTGTTTGTCTTAGGCTTTTGCTGAATCCGTGTTCATGTCTGCTACTCGATAACTTTGCTGCCACTGAGTGAGAGAGGCACTGGCGGTTACCGTGGTGACCCAGATGAACAGCTGGCAACAGCAGCAACATTTCTGTTAATGCTGCTCTTCCAGTTTATGAACCAAATAAATGCTGCAGTGATACTCCTTTAAAAGTCCCCAGAGATGTCCATTTCTGTTTTTATCTTCCAAACGTGTTGGGCAGGAATGTTTAAATGTGAAGGAGGTGCTCACAGAGGATGAAATGTTCCTATTGTAACAACATTAAAGCAGATGGGGAAAAAACTTTTAATCTGACCGTTTGACCTTGTCAGAATTGAAACAAAACAACGCGTTAAGAAACATTAATGATGATTAAAACAAGACAAAGAGAAAACGTTGTTGATGTTCCCTTTTTTATTTCACATCCACTTGTCCCTTTAACGCTTTTCTCTGCAATGGAAACTGCTCATCCACCATCATCACTCTCCACGCTTTGATCTCGGGCTGGCTGCACGCATGCGCCCCTCATTGGCTCCTCTGCACCGTCTGGAGTAAGTTGGATGCGCGCTCTCCTCACTCGCATCCAGAAGCCACCTGAAAAACTGTTGCGATGGGGAGGACCAGGGAAAAGCACGTTGGGATTTTGACCTTTTCCTTGCTGGTGACGTTCGCCTGGGCTCAAAAGTAATTTCATTCGCGCTCTCGTTTTCTGTGGTATCATCTGCTGTCTTGCCTCACGCTAAGATGTGTTTTTTTTAATGTCTCCTCTCCAGCGTCAAGGATATCAAAGATCCGAGCAACATGCCTCTGGTGAAGGAAACTGTGGACAGGTTGATGAAGGGATACGACATTCGGTTGAGGCCAGATTTCGGAGGTAACGGAGCACATTTTTAAATAAGTAAATAAATAAATAAAGAGCACGGATGTCATGTTTTCACGCCCTCTTAACGTGCCATACATGTCTAATGAATCGCAAAATCTGCTTTCATTTACATAAGCTAATCATCCCTTCACAGTCAAATAGGCCCCTGCCAATTATGGGCTGCTAAGAGAAATGATGTGCATATTCCACTTTGATGAGAGGCTGTTAACGTGATCGATACCGCTCATCAATGTTTGATTACTCCGCTAAATAAACGCAATTAGCGGCGTTTAGGCTGATGGCGGGTGTCAAACATGACGGTTTGCGCTCGGGCTGATGTGGAGGAAGAGGAGGATGCACCAGTCACCTGGAGGTGCTGGCGTCACGGAGCTGTTAAATTTACATGGTGGGAGATTTATTCGCATCTCTGCTCTCCTCCTTCACAGGTGCTCCCGTGGCCGTGGGGATGAACATAGACATAGCCAGCATAGACATGGTCTCTGAAGTCAACATGGTAGGTGAACCTTTTACGGTGCTTTTTACTTCTTTCTTTGGAAAAATAAAGTGTACACCGTTTAAAAGTGGACTGTTTCCAGAGAATGTCCCCACCCCCTAGAAATAAAACACCCCCCTGCGCTGCTGTACCTCTTCCCCAGTCCGCATTTGCAGCTCTGGTGCAACATTTGAATTCAAAACACACTCTCACTGGCGCACACGCAGCTCTGGCTGTGTGCAGGAAGGGCTGCGCGTCTGTAAGTGTGTGTGTGTTATGTTTATGCGCTCCAAGTTTTTATCTCACACACACACACACACACACACACACACACACACACACACACACACACACACACACACACACACACACACACACACACACACACACACACACACACACACACTAATAATCCAATCTCATCTCCAAGCGGTTAATTTTGCGACCCAGTCCCATCATCACCATCTACGTCAACGGTTTTCCTCCTACTGGTTAGATGACGTCAGCACATCTTTTTAGTTAAATAAATGTCCAATCACACTGCTCTGGAAAACAATTGGGAAATAAAAGAATGGATGATGAGGATGAAGGTGGACATGGTGGACAGGGGAAAAATTCAGCAGCCCAGGAAAGAGCACTGAAAGTCAGGGGTGCATCTAGAGGGTGGCCAGATGGGGCTTGTGATCTGTGGTGCCACCAAAACCAAAACACAAAGCTTCGGGACTTTCATCATTGTGCTGTCTTACGCTTAGCCTGGCAGGTGACCGAGCAGAGCCTGGCGGCCCGCCGTGGCTTATAAAGTTCTGGGGGAAACCCTGGCTTGTTTTAGAAACATAATTCCTAAAATCAAACTCTGACAGGAAATGGATGGATGGGTTTTTTCACATTTGGAGGGTTTATAAAGTCAGTAGAGATCCACATGTTGGCACAAAAGGATGCAACGTTTTGCACAAATGTCCCTTTTAAATTCATAAAAATCAGGGTATTACATTTCTGGCTGTCTGAGATGTTAGTAGGCAGCAGATACCAGAGGTGACCATTGTCTCCACTGGTATCTGCTGAGTGTCATCACTGACAATAGTTTCAATAATATACTCAGGCTCATAAACTACAAGAAACATCAGTGTTTCCATAGGTTTAGTGTGAGAGACCATTAGCAGCCTATTCAACATAAAGAAATGTTGCATGGAGCTGACAGAGATGAGCCTTCTTAATTTGTTTATTCTTTTCGCTACTGAATCAATTCTTGCATAAAAATAGTTTATATGATGGAAAATATTTATTTTGGTGGAGCATGCAGCAAATATGGAAGTGCACGGGGAGTTTAAGCAGAGCACCTCTCTTGCTTCCGTCTCCGTCCTTCCCTCCCACCCCTCTGACCGGATCTCTGGCTGTAACTCTGGGCTCAGCAGCCATGCAATCCACCTCTGCCTTGCTCCAAAGGGTTATCTCACTGAAGAACTATTCATCTGGAAAAAAAGAAAGGAAAAAGAAGACACTGCTGCAGCCGTCCGCGTGTCTGCAACGTAACAAAACTGTGCACAAACAGAGGATGGCGACTGACGTCATGCAGCTCCCTGTGGCTATGCGAGAGCCTTCATCCCTCTCGTTTCTCAGAAAAGCTCTTCCTGCCAGATCTGTACAGGCGTCACTCTGATACGACAGATTTAGACAGAAAGTGAAAGATGAAACATTGAAACACCAAACCTCAAACTCCTTGAGGACTTTTGCTCCGGATGCTGTTACCTTGTGAAAATAAATTACATAACAGTTTGGAATCTCCTCCTCCTCTTCTTCTGTTAAAATAGACGATGAGCAGCTGACATTGATTCTAGAGAAATCAATAAAATGAATGTGATGATGATGTGGCCGTTGACCCGTTCTTGGTGCAGCGCTGCTTTGATCTTCCTCATCATGGGACGCTGCGTTGGGATTAATGAGCTGAGGGGGAAAACAAGCTGCTGAAGTCAGGATGAAACTGGAACAGGTAGTGAAGAGGAGGGACGAAGAGAGGTCAAGGTTATTCTCACTAGCTCCTTTAATGTCATCTGTCCTGTAGGGGAGCTGAGAAAAAGTTACTCTATTAAGTCAGGGGTCACGTGCGGACACCATGTTGCCCCCAGGTACCATATAAGTTCCCCACAGGCCATTTCTCCAAAAAGCAAAAGTCTAAAAAAAATAGACCTGCTGCCATCTTTTTTTATTAACAAATGCATTGATATTGATTTTAAAACTACAATTTTCTTTTTAAAAAGCAATAAAATAAGTTTATTATACATGAAGTTTTGCTTAACTGTGATCTATTCTAGTTTAAAGGTCATCGAATCAGCGTGGTAGCCCTTCGTGTTACCCTCTGTTTCTCAAAGGTTGGTGACTCCTGTTCTATATGGACGTAATTTTTTTGGGGGGGACAGGGGGGACATGTCCCCCCCACTTTTTCCAGAGTCAAGTTTTGACCCCTGCACTTTTTTTCCATCCAAAAACAATATTACTTTATATTAAATTGACACTGGTTGAGCTCTAGGACCAAGCGGAAAACAACCGTTTGTGTTGAAGCCTGTTTCCCATTAGAACATACTGTAAAGATACCCCCACCCCCATGTCCCCCCACTTCTAAAGTGAAAATTACGTCCTTGTCTATATCTTTCAGCTGGAACTTGAGTCAACTTCATATTTGAAGTTTTAGTTTATACCAGTTAAAATAAATCATTAGATAAACATAAGTTTTATCACCCTTCCCCTCTCCTCTCCACCCACCCCAAATATGCAGCATTTGCTATTTCTGATGACGACTTTCATTGCACATGTTTGAAACGTTGCCATGTTGCAATGCTTTGTTTTAGCCCAGCAAGAACAAATGGCCAAATCAGCGGCTTTAAAAAATCGTTGCATTTTTATTGGTTGCTGTAGTTTCTTCTCTTAGTGAGACAGTGGAAATGACCAGTGAGGTGCATGATCTTGATTTGGTTGTAGTATGAAGTCGTGCCACTAGAAGTCATCACATCTTTCATGCTTTTCCTTCGAGGTAGGATGAAAATTACTTAATGTGACATCATCGTTATTACAAGCAATAATCTGATGGATATTTCATCGCGCTCAGTCACTAATGTTTTCAATAAATCTGCTGTGGTCTCTAGCATGAAAGAAGGCATTGTGAGTTGTTTTCAGTGGAGAAAGAAGGTCTTGGACTCTTGTTTCAGGGGGTAGAAGATTGACGGAGGAGTAGTGGTGGAAAATAACAGCATTTGGAGTTTTACTCATTATTATTCATGATATGCAAATATCTAATCTTTGATTGGCTAACAGAAATGTGACTCTGCTGCCTTTGTTTGCTCTTCTGCCTTGGGGAAAAAATGCAACGTTGATATTTTATCTCCGCAATTAACAATAGCCTGAATATGCTTTGCTATGTTGTGGAACTGCTAATGCTAAGGGTTAGCTTCTACTAGCTGAGATGCGCTCTGCTCTCTCCTGGGTGCTAAAACCAACACAGCATTCCAAGTGGAGGTGGGTGAGTTCCTGAATGCAAAACTTCCCTTTGATGGAGATCTGAGTGGTGTTGTCTGATCAGATCATTTTCCTGTCTATAACCTTTCTGCAGCTAATGCAGACGATAGGGGTCGTATGTTTTCACGTTCTGCATGCTTGTGAAACTCAGAATATTTCAAAAACAAGCATTATATAGTTTTTCAGTGAGCGACACCTTTAAAAACTTGAACAATTCAAATAGAACCATTTAAGATCACAAAAACGAATCAGTTGTTCTATAAATTATCAGGTTTTGGTTGCATGCAGTTATTTTAAACTTCATGGCTAAATTGGTGCAAATAAGTCAGCACACAGAACAGAAAGGTCTGGACTGAAAAGTTGCCTGGTTATTTAAAATTGTGTGTGTGTGTGTGTGTGTGTGTGTGTGTGTGTGTGTGTGTGTGTGTGTGTGTGTGTGTGTGTGTGTGTGTGTGTGTGTGTGTGTGTGTGTGTCATTGTGGTGGTAAGCAGTACTGAGCTGTAGACAGCTGCTCGCTCCTCTAATTAAAGACAAAACCGCTCGTGGTGAATAATGAACTCTCCGTTTCAGCTGAAGCTGACTGAAGCCGTTGTGGTGTTTTTATTCTCTGCTGACAGGAAGGGCATCGTGGCTGCTGAACGTTTGAGTTGCCTCTCCTTCTTTATGTGAGGGCCCTTTCCG